TTAGGGGTTGAAGGGGTGCCATCTGGAGAAGAACCCGCCTGTTCTTGCTCCTCCTCCGAATTCTGATATTCCTTATCAGGAATAATTTCATCAGCGGACTCTCTCCTAGCGTGCCTCTTTCTTGGCTTGATAGCCGTTTATTTTACTCTTGCCATGGGGACCCCCCGTTCTAGATTCAGTCGTACCAGGAGAGCAGCAGAATGTCCTAGGCGGTGTCGTGTGGGTCGATGGAGAGACCATTTGATTATTAAAGCCTAACTATACAAGCGAAAAAGTATAAAAAGCTTTAAAGGAGTATAGGCAGTTACCTTTAAACTTAGCTCTGAATATCTAAAAACTACTACACGCGGTGACCGGATGTGCTCCTTGAAACGCAGACAGAAAAATGTAAAATTATAGCAGACGGATGAAGAGTTTCTCTCTCTAAAAAGCCTTGTCTTTCTTTGTCAAAGAAGTCAAATGTTTTGGTGTGAAATGAGGAGAGAGAGGGGGTAAACCTTTTAATTATAGAAGGGTAAAAGCGGGAGCATCCCCACCAAACCCTAGAAGGTGTATAGTTTTTACTATTCACCGTTTACTAAATGTCGCGTGTCACAGGCGCCACGTGGCCAGCCACATGCCACCTGTGAGGGGCAAATGTTTTGGGTAAAAATACCCTATCCACGAGGACCAATCAAAGAGGGTCACGTGTTAAACCTAGTCAAGTCCATTTGGGCTAATAGCTAGCGCACACGTGTCAGCCTCATATGCTTTCCAAGAATTGTGGCCTTCAAGGCCCAATTCTCAAGAACGCCGTAAAACGGCGCAACCCACCAAATATAGGTCTAATGACCTAAGAAGGGGCACGTTCCTCAATGACCCTATAAATAGTGAGATATTTCCCAATTTTGAGATACATTCAATCATTTATTACACCTAACCTACATTCTCTAATAACAAAGAACACCCAATCTCGAAATCCGAGAAGATCTCATTTCATTTTCCGCACCTTTTCCTACTAACATTCAACTACTAACTTGATCGTTGGAGGCGAAGCTCTAAACTCCCGGAGTCTCCGTTCTTTTGCTGGTACAGGCACAGTCAGATAAATCCTCGAGCCGTAACTCTCCCGAGGGATAAAAACACCTAAAACAAAATGCATTATATTTTCGTTCGATTCAAAAAGCTTTCATTTGATTCAAAAAAAATTGTTTGAATATGTTTGACTTTTATTTGATTCAAAAAGCATTGTTTGAATGTGATTGACTTTCATTTGATTCAAAAAGCATTGTTTGAATGTGTTTGACTTTTATTTGATTCAACAAGATTTGTTTAAATGTGTTTGACTTTCATTTGATTCAAAAAGCTTTGTTTGAATACGTTTGTTATTCATTTGATTCAATTTGCTTTGTTGAATGCATTTGACTTTCATTCTATTCAAAAAGCTTTATTTGAATGTGTTTGACTTTTATTAGATTCAAAAAGATTTGTTAAAATGTGTTAGACTCTTATTTGATTCAAATAGCTTTGTTTGAATGTGTTTGTTATTCATTTGATTCAATTAGCTTCGTTGAATTTATTTGACTTTCATTCGATTTAAAAAGCTTTGTTTGAATATGTTTCACTTCTATTTGAATAAAAAAGACATGTTTGAATGTGTTTGATTTTCATTTGATTCAATTAGCTTTGTTTAAAGGTGTTTGACTTTCTTTTGATTCAAATGGCTTAGTTTGAATGTGTTTGACTTTACTTTGATTAAAAAAGCTTTGCTTGAATGTGTTTGACTTTCATTTGATTCAATTAGCTCCGTTGAATGCATTTGACTTACATTTGATTTAAAAAAGTTTGTTTGAACGTGTTTGACTTTCATTTGACTCATAAAACTTTGTTTGAACGTATTAGTTTTCATTTGATTTAAAAAGCTTTGTTTGAATGTGTTTTACTTTTTTTTGAATTAAAAAGCTTTGGTTTAATGTGTTCGACTTTTATTTGATTAAATTAGCTTTGTTGAATGCATTTGACTTTGATTCAATTCAAATAGCTTGGCTCGAATGTGTTTGACTTTTATTTGAATTAAAAAACTTTATTTAAAAGTGTTTGACTTTCATTTGATTAAATTAGGTTTGTTGAATGCATTTGACTTACATTCAATTCAAAAAGCTTTGTTTGAATGTGTTTGACTTATATTTAAATCGAAAAGTTTTATTTGAATGTGTTTGACTTTCATTTGATTCAATTAGCTTTGTTTAAATGTGTTTTACTTTCCTTTGATTCAAAAAGATTAGTTTGAACGTGTTTGACCTTACTTTGATTAAGAAAGCTTTACTTGAATGTGTTTGACTTTCATTTGATTCAATGAGCTCCGTTGAATGCATTTGACTTTCATTCAATTCAAAAAAGTTTGTTTGAATGTGATTGACTTTCATTTGATTCATAATGCTTTGTTTAAACGTGTTTAACTTTCATTTGTTAAAAAAAGCTTTGTTTGAATGTGTTTCACTTTTATTTGAATTAAAAAGCTTTGTTTGATTGTGTTCGACTTTCACTTGATTTAATTAGCTTCGTTGAATGCATTTGACTTTGATTCAATTCAAATAGCTTGGCTCGAATCTGTGTGACTTTCATTTGAATTAAAATACTTTATTTGAAAGTACTTGACTTTCATGTGATTAAATTAGCTTCGTTGAATGCATTTGAATTTCATTCAAATCAAAAAGCTTTGTTTGAATGTATTTGACTTCATTTATTTCAAAAACCTTTGTTTTGAATATGTTTCACTTTTATTTGATTTAATTACCTTTGTTTGAATGTGTTTGACTTTCCTTTGATTAAAACATATTTGTTTAAATGTGTTTGACTTTCATTTGATTCAATTAGCTTCACTGAATGCATTTTCCGTTCATTCGATTCAAAAGGCTTTGTTTGAATGTCATTGACTTTCATTTGATTCAATTAGCTTCGTTTAATGCATTTGAATTTGATTCGATTCAAAAAGCTTTGTTTAAATTCGTTTGCTTTAATTTGATTAAAAAGCTTTGTTTGAATGTGTATGACTTTCATTTAATTCAAAAAGCTTTGTTTGAATTCATTTGACTTTGATTTGATTCTAAAATCTTTGTTTGAATATATTAGACTTTCGTTTGATTTAAAAAGCTTTGTTTTAATGTGTTTGACTTTCATTTGATATAATTAGCTTTATTTTAATGTGTTTGACTTTCATTGAATTCAAAAAGCTTTGTTTGAATGTTTTTGACTTTCATTTGATTCAATTAGCTTTGTTTGAAAGTTTTTGACTTTCCTTTGACTCAAAACAATTTGTTTTAACGTGTTAGACTTTCAGTTGATTCAAAAAGCTTTGTTAGAATTAATTTGACTATCATTTGAATCAAAAATCTTTGTTTGAATATGTTAGACTTTCATTTGATTTAAAAAGCTTTGTTTTAATGTGTTTAACCTTCATTTGATTCAATTAGCTTTATTTTAATGTTTTTGACTTTCATTCAATTCAAAAAGCTTTTTTTGAATGTGTTTGACTTTCATTTGATTCTATTAGCTTTGTTTGAAAGTGTTTCAGTTTCCTTTAATTTAAAACGATTTGTTTTAACGTGTTTGACTTTCGATTGATTCAAAAAACTTTGTTTGAATTCATTTGACTTTCATTTGAATCAAAAATTTTTGTTTCTATACTTTAGAGTTTTTTTTTTTTTTTTTAATTGGTAAATACAGATTTTATTGCCAAAAAAGAAGTAAGTTACAACCGACAATAAGCTAAGTTGCAACAACCGAAACAACAAGAGACCACAAAGGCCATCAAACACAAAGAACAGTGCCTAGCTCTACACTAGCCACCTTCTGGGAAGGGTTCTAGGAAGAACAAGAACACAACTACTGGACTCAGGAACTTAGGCACCTACTAGGAAGGGTGCTAAGCACCAGGACCTTACAAAGGACCAAAACAACATACAATATCATTCACAAGCATTCTTAGTGACTAGCCTATTACATCTGCCATGACAGCACTATTACATCTACAAGCAACAAGAAATATAATATCTCTAACCAAAGTAGTGCCTGTTTTGCAATTCCCTGTAAACATCAAAGCGTTCCTTTGTGGCCAAATATTATAAACTGTTTCAGGAAAACCCATAGCCACAATTTTAATTCTATTGTTAGCGTTCCTGCAGTGCTTAGTAACCCACTTCTGTTCCTCAGAGAAACTGAGAATAGATCTAGAGAAACCCAACATCTGCAGCAATGAAGACCAAATTTCTTTAGAATACCTGCACTCAAAAAATAAATGTTCCACTGTTTCACTTTCTACAGCACAAAAAAAAAACAATAAGGGTCACATGTAATCTGCCATGATAGCAGCCTATCTTTAGTGACTAGCCTATCAAGAATAGCAAGCCAAGTGACAAATAAACTCTTTGGGGAAGCCTGATTGTTGCAGAGAATTCTCTTCCAAGGAACTTTAGGTCTCTAGGGCTTAATGACACTGTAAAGATTCTGGATTTGGATTTTCCCATTAACAGTGACACTATCCAACCACCAATATCATTCACAAGCAATCTTGAAGCAAGAATCTTCTTCAAAATCGAAGAAGCTTTCTTAGGAATAGTAGCAGTCCATATATCCTTGCCTACAAAATAGTAGATATGTACCCATTTTACCCATAGGTTATCAGATTTGCTAGCTAGATCCCAAAGAACCTTAGCTATAGCTGCTTTATTCCAATCTTCCAAAGAAGTAATATTCAAACCCCCACAAGACATAGGTAAGCATAAAAACTTCCAAGCAACCAAGACTTTCTTAGTCCACAAAAAGCACCTAAATCAGGACTCCATTTCCCTTATAATCTTCTTTGGCAGAATAAAAATCTGAGCCTAAAAAGCTTGAATTCCAAAAAGAACACTTTTAATCAGTTGCAATCCTCCAACATAGGAGAGATGTTTGGGAGCCCAAGTATCAATTCTACATGTAATCCTTTAAACTAATGGCCTACACTCAGAAATAGTGAGCTTTTAAGAAGAAAGAGGAACACCAATGTACTTAAAAGGCAAGGAACCATTAGCCATTCCCAACACTTGCTGGAGATCAGTTTTCTCATGCTCCAAGACACCCCCAAAATAGGCATCACTCTTATCAAGGTTTGCAGACAACCCTGAAGCCTCAGAAAATTTCTAGAAAGCCTGAAAAAGAAGCTTATTAGACCTCAAATCAGCCCTAGCAAACAACAGCAGATCATCAGCAAAAATCAAATGAGTAATCCCAAGTTTCTCACATCTATGATGAAAGTTAAAATCTAGATTTTTAGTCATGTCCTACAAACACCTTGAGTGATACTCCGTACACAAAGCAAACAGGAAAGGGGACATAGGATCACCTTGTCTCAAGCGTTTTTTGGCCTGGAAATGGATAGAAGGATAGCCATTAATCATAACTGAGTAAGAGAAACAAGTTATACATCCCATTATCCAATTTATGACCCTGTTAAGAAACCCCAACTCACCAAGCTTAACCTCTAGAAACCTCCATTCAACAGATTCATAGGCTTTCCTAAGATCTATTTTCAACATACATCTAGGATTGACAAACTTGTGAGAATAGCCTTTAATCAACTCTATAGCTAACAAAATATTATCACCTATATGCTTGCCTGGGATTAACCCAGCTTGAGCTTCATTTACAACAGAACCAATAACCTTTGCCAATCTAGTAGTAATGACCTTAGAGATCAATTTTTAAACTAGAGTGCAACAAGCTATGAGCCTATATTCCTTCACATAAGAGGGATTCTGAACCTTTGGAACAAGGGTAATAGTAGTGAAGCTCCAAGACTTCTCTAACACACCAGTATAAAAGAATTCCAAGAGAGCTTTGTACACATTAGTTTAAATATGGTTCCAAGCATGTTTGAAAAATACAACATTGAACCTATCTATACCAGGAGCTTTGTCATCGCCAATCCCAGCTAAAGCAGAATCAATTTCAGAGTGAGAAACAGGAGTGGAAAGAATATCAATATCATCACAAGACAACTGGTTCCCAGCCCTAACAATAGCAATATCAACAGCTGGCAAAGAACTAGCAGCAGAACCCAAGAGATTTTGATAAAAACTGAGAATTTCAGCTTGAACCAAATTAGGTTCCTTGAGCAAAACACCATTATTAGTGTAAATGGAATCAATTCTATTCCTATTTTGCCATTGCTTAAGAACATAAAAATAATAATGAGAATTAGAGTCTATAAGCTTAATCCAGGTCACTCTAGATTTCTGTTTCAGGATACTCTCATAAGTATTCATCCGATACTTCACTATCTCAATTCCAGCAGTTTCTTGAGCTTGAAGAGGAGAATTAGTAATATCATCAGTTAGTTGAGATTGAACCTCAGCCAAGGAAAGCCTAGCCTTTTCTAACCTGTTAGAGACCTTAGCAAAATGCTTAGTATTTAAACTCTTAAGACCAGTCTTAATAGATTTTATCTTCTTCCACACTGGTAACATAAAGCTCCAAGGAACAGGAACATCCTAGTGAGAAGACAACCTCTTGAAAATCTTTATGTTAAGCAAGATAATTCAAAAACCTGAAAGGTTTACCTTTCCTAGCAACAGAATGAACAATATCCAAAAGAACAGGAAAATAATCAGAAAGAGAAGGAAGAAGATAGATAGCCTCAGTTTGTAAATATGTCAACAACCAAGCCTCATTAACCAAACCTCGATAAATTCTAGAAGCAGTCATATCCATACCATGACCTTTATTATTCCTAGAGTAAAAAGACCCTTTACTCTTGATTCAACAAGTTCCAAGTCATGAATAAAATCCTTGAAATCCTTAACCTCATAATCAGTAACTGGATTGCCATTAAATCTATCCTCATAAGAAAAAATAAAATTAAAGTCAGCAATACACAGCCAAGGCTACTGAATATTACCTAAGTCCTTAATGCCAGACCATATAGGAGATCTATGTTGAATGGAATCAAGACCATAGACAAAAGTACAAGCAATTTGATGCTGTGAATCCTTAGAGGTAAGAATAACATGAATAAATTGCTCATTAACTGTAATAACATCAAGAGAAACAACATCAGGTTTCCAGCCAAACCATATCCTCCCTTTAAGAAAGAAAGAATAATTGGAAACCCAATCCCAAGATTTACCAAACTTCTTTTTCAATGCATCAAACTTATGAATTTTAACATTAGTTTCTAGAATAGCCATAACATCAACTGTGTGATCACTAAGCAACTACTTCACTACAGCTACTTTATTGGGTCGTTAAGGCCCCTAATATTCCAGGTTGTAATAATCATGGCACCAAAGGGGGATTACCATCACCCCCGATAGGAATAGAAGCCACCTCATCAGCCATTAAAACATTGGTAGCATTAACCCTAGTAACCACATGCTGTGTTCGCCTAGTAGTTTGAGACTTGGTTTTTTTACCCACCAATCTCCAGCCATTATCAGAATTCACTAGTTGGTTGTCATAAGAAGGAGTATTCACATGTAGATCAGTAGGTTTAGCTCCATTTTGCTAAGTAACAGTTGCCTGAGGAACAACAGGCTTAACTTTAGGCTTCCAAACCTGCTTTTGTACTTGAACAACTTCTTTCTAAGCAGGAGCATATTGCATATGGGTAGCCTTACAAGCAGAACCCTCATGGCCAGCCTTATCACACTTCTTGCAAAATGGAGGCTTCCATTCAAACTGAACCCATAGCTTAACAGTATCACCAGTTAGCCCCTTAACCAAGACAGAATAAGGAAAGGCCTTAGTCACATCAGTCTCAACAAGAATCCTAGCAAAAGACACCCTAAGTTTCCTAGAAGTACATTCATCTGCACAAATAGGCACACCCAATACACTGCCAATTTTGCTTAGAGTATCACTTCCCCAACAGTTCAAGGGAAAGTTTAGAGCTTGACCCATACAGGGATTGTTCTGAGCACTTCAGAGTGAAAATCAAACTTCTCATTCCAAGGCTTATCAATAGCATGTTTTCCATAGAACATATGGGGTCTAGAACATAACAATGTATTCATTTTAGCTTCAGAATGCAAATTGATGATAAAATAACCATCATCATCCTAAAAGATTTCTTGTTTCTCAAAATAACTCTAGTTATGAGCTATAAGACTATGAACAGCAGCAATAGTAGGGTAATACCCCACAACATAGAATATTGCAGCATTACACCACTTCTTATTACCCTCTAACAAATTAGTAGCAACCAATTTAGCAACAAGCTTACCTTCCTTAAGAACAGGGGCAACATAGGATAGAAAAGATCCTTTTGTAGAAAGTTTCCCTCGGAATAAAGCCTCACATCTTGAACCAGGAGCAACTATACCACCAGGATGTCCAGACTTATCATCATATGGCATAGAAAAACTCGATTTTTTGGGTGAAGAAGTAGTATCGAGATTAGGATCCAATGGAATAGTAGCTGGAGAAACCCTAGTTACTGTTCGATTAGATTCCTTTGAAATCGAGCCAAATTTGAGACTCTGAGTTGCACCAATAGGTCCAGCATCACTGCGGGGCAACATTCTAACAGATGGATGAACTAATCCAAGAGCTGGGGTAACAAGTTCATCAACTTCATCAATCGAATCTAGGTTGTAAGTAGACCCAGAATTCCTTTAACTTTCAAGAATCTTATCAATCGGAGCTATATGAGTCTATTTCACAGTAGTTTGGGGGAGAGGAGTAGCTTGTTTCTTCTTCTTTGTCATTGTTAAAGATCTCAAGGAGGAAAAACCATCAAAATCACAGAACCATGGAATAAAGAGAAAAGAGAAAAGTCAACGCAAAGTCAACGCCCCCTATCGATAATGCATTTTTTAATACTTTAGACTTTCATTTGATTTAAAAAGCTTTGTTTTGATGTGTTTGACTTTCATTTGATTCAATTAGCTTTATTTTAATGTGTTTGACCTTCATTTTATACTAAAAGCTTTGTTTGAATGTGTTTGAATTTCATTTGATTTAAAAAGCTTTGTTTGAATGTGATTGTTATTTACTTGATTTAATTAGCTTCGTTGAATGTATTTGACTTTCATTCAATTTAAAAAGCTTTGTTTGAATGTGTTATACTTGCATTCGATTCAAAAAGATTTGTTTGAATGCGTTTGACTTTCATTTTATTCAAAAAGATTTGTTTGAATGTGTTTGAATTTCATTTGATTAAAAAAGCTTTGTTTGAATGTATTTAACATTCATTCAATTCAAAAATGCTTTCTTTGAATGTGTTTCACTTTCATTTGATTCAAAAAGCTTTGTTGAATGTGTTTGACTTTTTTTTTTGTTTTGGTAAATATAGATTTTATTACAGTAAGAGAAGCAAGTTACAACCTACAAAAAGCTAAGTTGCAACAACCCAAACACCAAGAGACCACAAAGGCCAACAAACACCAAAAACAGTTCCAAGGTCTACCCTACCCACCTTCTAGGAAGGGTTCTAGGAAGAACCAGGAACACAACTACTGGACTCGGGAACATAGGCACCTTCTAGGAAGGATACTACGTACCAGGACCAGACAAAGAACCTACGGCATATAATAAAAACCTCTTGGCACTATTACATCTACAAGCAACAAGAAATATAATATCCCTATCAAAAGCAGTGCCTGTTTTGCTATTCCCTGTAAACATCAAAGCATTCCTCTGCAGCCAAATATTATAAACTGTTTCAGAAAAACACATAGCCACAATTTTGCTTTTATTGTTAGCCTTTCTGCCGTGCTTAGCAACCCACTTCTGCTCCTCAGAGAAACTAAGAATAGATCTAGAGAACCCCATCATATGCAGCAATGAAGACAAAATTTCTTTAGAATACATGTAGTCAAAAAATAAATGTTCCACTGTTTCACTTTCAGCAGCACAAAAAAAAAACAATAAGGGTCACAAGTAATCTGCCATGACAGCAGCCTATCTTTAGTGACTAGCCTATCAAGAATATAAACCCAAGTGACAAATAAACTCTTTGGGGAAGCCTGGTTATTGCAGAGAATTCTCTTCCAAGGAACTTTAGGTCCCAAGGGCTTAATGACACTGTAAAGATTCTTAATTTACATTTTCCCATTAACAGTGACACTATCCCAACCACCAATATCATTCACAAGCATTCTTGAAGCAAGAATCTTCTTCAAAATCCAAGAAGCTTCCTTAGGAATAGTAGCAGTCCATATATCCTTGCCTGCAAAATAGTAGATATGTACTCATTTTACCCATAGGTTATTAGATTTGCTAGCTAGATTCCAAAGAACCTTGGCTATAGCTGCCTTATTCCAATCTTCTAAAGAAGTAATATTCCAACCCCACAAGACTTAGGTAAGCATAAAAACTTCCAAGCAACCAAGGCTTTCTTAGAGGGGTTACTTTTTCAAAGCCACAAAAAGCACCTAAATCTGGACTCCATGTCCCTTATAATATTCTTTGGCAGAAGAAAAATCTGAGCCCAAAAAGTTTGAATGCCCAAAAGAAAACTTTTAATCAATTGCAATCTTCCAGCACAGGAGAGATGTTTGGCAGCCCAAGTATCAATTCTACAAGTAACCCTTTTAACTAAAAGCCTACACTCAGAAATAGTGAGCTTTTAGGAAGAAAGAGGAACACCAAGGTACTTAAAAGGCAAGGTACCATTAGCCATTCCCAGCACTTGTTATAGATAAGTTTTCCCATGCTCCAAGATACCCCCAAAATAGGCATCGATCACTCTTATCCAGGTTTGCAGATAACCCTAAAGCCTTAGAAAATTTCTGGAAAGCCTGAAAAAGAAGCTTAATAGACCCCAAATCAGCCCTATCAAACAGCAGCTGATCATCAGCAAACATCAAATGAGTAATCCTAAGTTTCTCACATCTAGGATGAAAGGTAAAATCTGGATTTTTAGTCATGTCCTGCAGTCATCTTGAAAGATACTCCATACACAAAGCGAACAGGAAAGGAGACATAGGATCACCTTGCCTCAAGCCTTTTTTTGCTTGGAAAGGGGCAGAAGGATATCCATTAATCATAACTAAGTAAAAGACAGAAGTTATAAATCCCATTATCCAGTTTATAACCCTGTTAGGAAACCCCAACTCACAAAGCATAACCTTTAGAAACCTCCACTCAACAGAGTCATAGGCTTTCCTAAGATCTGTTTTCATTATACATCTAGGAGTGACAAACTTGTGAGAATAGCCTTTTTTTTTTGGTAAATTGTGAGAATAGCCTTTAATCAACTCTCTAGCTAACAAAATATTATCACCTATATGCTTGCCTGGGATAAACCCAGCTCGAGCTTCATTTACAACAAAACCAATAACCTTTGCCAATCTAGTAGTAATGACCTTAGAGATCAATTTATAAACTAGAGTACAACAAGCTATGGTCCTATATTCCTTCACATAAGAGGGGTTTTAAACCTTTGGAACAATGGTTATAGTAGTACAGCTCCAAGACTTCTCTCACACACCTGTATCAAAGAATACCAAGACAGATTTGTACACATCAGTTTTAGTATGGTTCCAATCATGTTTGAGAAAGATAGCACTGAACCCATCTATACTAGGAGCTTTGTCATCACCAATCTCAACTAAAGCAGAATAAATTTCAGAGTGAGAAACAAGAGCAGAAAGAATATCAATATCATCACAAGACAACTGGTTCCCAACCCTAACAATAGCAATATCAACAGCTGGCAAAGAACGAGCAGCAGAATCCAAGAGATTTTGATAAAAACCGAGAAT